ATAAAGTAGATTTTTGAGAGGGTATAAAAGATCTAACTAAAAAAAAGCTAATATTATTAAAGTGAACTTATAAGCATAGAAGATAGTTTTTTAATAGCGAAGAGATCAGTCCACGCAACAAATCCGTTCTATTATTCCCAATTTCTTTCAGCTTAGATTGTCCAGAATTCCATTCACATTTGCCTGCACGTTATAGGCTCACTGTTTCTGTTTTAGATCAAATTGATGCTATTCACTGTTCCGTATCAAAGACATCTGAAATTGACTAGCCTATACAGTACCCTGTCCTTCACCGATCGACCATTAAAAACCGCTACCACTTAGTCTACGAAAGAAATGTTGCATATTCGTCGACAAAGAAACTCCCAGTTTTCATTTAAAATCCTAAAAATTTCTCATTCAAATAAAAATTTCATTTCTACATCCTCTAAAAATCTAGTAGCACTAGGTCCAAATCTCACAGATAAATCAGACAGAAAAACGACAAATGAATTTTACTAATCTATCACAGTGCTGTTCGACAAGGATTATGTTTGATAAGTTTGAGGAAGACCACGATAACAACAAATACATCAGTCTTGGTGACCCAACGTTGTCGACAAAAACTAGTTGCCGGAGAGAAAAAAAGAACACTCTACGATCAATATCTGTATGATAAAATTCTAAATAATTTTCAAATTTTATAGTTCCATCAAGCATTTATTCAAATGGTTGCAATTAAGAGAGTAAATAGTTAGTGATCAATTTTTTCCCAACTGGAAGCTAACCTGAGTTTTACAACCTATAAAGTGTTAAAGTGGTCCAGAGTTTATTAGCGTAGCCTCCGCCCAAATAACTGACGTCAACATTACTGGTAACTGTGTTCAACCGAGTTCCAATAACTGGCTGCATCCTAACAATGAAATCCACTTCAACTCACTACTACTAGATCTTTCAAGCAGAATAACCTCTTCTGAAAATTTCTACAGTGATCACACAACAATAGAACATCCCCGACACAATTTCTTGTTCGGTTCAAACTGATTAAAACCTTAACTCCCCTCACCTTTCGCTGTTCCCCGGAAATCTTGCATATGTCATTTTCTCAAAGGCCACATTATCATAACTCCTTGCAAATCATTCTTCATCAACCAGAAGTACCATAAATTGTCTTTTTCCACTTCTTTATCAATAAATTATATAACTAAGAATGTAATTTTTTATTACAAATATTGTTTAAAATTTTAACTAAAACTGTGAATGATATATTTAAGGAATGCTGCTCAGATATAAATACACGTTTTCTTTTTTCTTCCAATATGTTAACATAGAAGAATACTGCATCTCGAGCAAACATTAGATACAACAGAAATTATTGCAGTCCTCCTGCCCGTTATAACAGCACAGAAGGCTTATCGATTACATAAGGCAAATAGCAACTTTAAACTTTCATCAGAAGCCGATAATCTACTCAACAATTAGTATTCTCCACTAGCACGCTAGATTACTTCACACGCCGATATGAAAATAGTCAGAGACCTCTACAAAAAAGAAAATATTTCCAATAAGTAATGATAATAGTAGACATGCAGCATCCTTGTTCGAAAAAAAATATTGTACTACGAATATATTACAAAAAAACCATACGTTGGTAATAACCTGGAAATACACAAGATCCTCAATGTCTCAACCACCTTGGAAAAACGTAATAAGAGAAGTTCCAAAACCTGTCAAACTGGCTCAACCTGTAAATTTCTTCAAGTGATTAGCGGATTAAATAAACCGAAAAACCAAATACTGGCTAGGAACACAACTAAATTAAAAGAAAGGAAATGTAAAATTCTACTTGCAGTTCAAGGTTGCCGACTAAGAATGTTTGTTTTTCAAAAAATTAAAAATAAACCAACACTAACAGGTTTCAAAACTACCGTGCTATTAGCATTTCTTACGACGTGTATCTGCCTTAAAGCGCTGAGACTAACACACGTGCTATTTTCTATTAATTTCGGAAAGTATTCTGATTAAATCTAAACCTTCCCTGCTGTTACAATATTTTAAGTTGGCTCTATTTGTAACAAAGATAACTTTTCAAGCAACATGAACTAAATAAACTAGTTTGCTGCAATAAAAAATAGAATAAAAAAAATAAGAATCAATTCAGCTCTACTTATAGACTGCTAGTTGTTTCATCCAAAATCATTTAGTGGTATAAACTATAAATGTAAAGAACCGTTTACTGCTTTGAAAGAAGTAAAATACGTCCCAAAAAAGGATATATGGTATACTGCTATTAACATGGCTAATCTTACTCCAAAGAGACTACTTAATCAGAATGTCTTAAAGAAGAGATATGTAATTGACAGTATTGAGGGAACTGATACAATAATAGAAAAATGTAAATTAACAACCTCAAAAGGTGGTCGCTAAATCACATAAAAGAAAGAGTGATATGGTTTCACCTTCGAAACAAAGCTGTTCAATCTGAAAGTTAAAATGAGCTAAGGAGATAAACGTTTTCTAATCCATTTTTTCCCATCATCTACCAGCTCAAAAACTATCCTGTCGTGGACGCGATCTGACTGACCTTGCCAGAACTCAAAGTAATTCGGGATAACACGATAACCGCCCCTAAAACAACTCTTCTGTAAAAAACCATTTTAAATGAGAATTTTGTATTTTGGATAAAGAGAGTATTAGGCGCCTCTGTGACTCAAACGGAAAAACAAAAGCTATAGCCCACGTTCACACTAAAAAACTCACCACGAAGTCGGTCTTGTAATCGCACCTTCACCTTTTTCCTCGGCAAGTTTTGTTAACTCCTGTCTTTTATCAATTAAGTACTGCAATATAGTCCAATATAAAATCCCCTCCTTCAGCACTAAATAACAAACAGAAAAAAAAAACGAACTGAAAAACTAGATAACCTGACGGTTTGGAATAACAGTGCTTTGGTCACTAGCTTTCGATCCAATCCTGCTTTTTAAAGGTCGTGAATTCCAGTAATTATCAGCCATCTGTATCGGTAGTTTTTCAACCTTCCCCTCTATTCGTATCTGCATGAAAAATATAGCCTAACAAGCTTTTCCAAGAAAACAAATCCGTTTCGGTCTATAAAGAAGCAACCAATTGATATAAAAGTACATTCTTCAAAAAGAAGCATCTATTATGCAGTCATTATAATCAGAATTTCAGCTAACACTGGAAGCATCTTGAGCAAAATAACCTGACGATCGACTTTTGGCCAGTAGAATAAAATACAGGCGTAGGGATTTGCTTCAAGTTCTTTACCTTTCCTACTATCATAACTTGTATAAAATGAAAACCCTTTTTTGTCATATTCCTTCATTAAAACCATCCGTGAAGACGGTTTGCCGTTTCTGAAATTCTTTTTTTTATAGATAAATATAACTCTAATGTAAAGAAAGTGTTATACAACATTTACAGTTCTAAATAACTTGAAAGGCAAGTTTAATAAAGAGAAACCTACAAGCAGGTTGAAACACAGGCAGCATTAACTTCCTCAAAAGAAACATTAGCTTTTGAGGCTACATTTTTGAACCATACGTCGAATACCTCGAAAGGGTCCAAAGAAGGCAAGTTCTCTTCAAGAATTACTGGTTCTTCCTTATTCATGTATGGTTTTCTCCAACCTATTCAAAAATCTTCATAAATTGATATCGTTTATAACTTTAACAATAAAAATTCAGTTAGGAAATATAAATGAGACAAAGGAAAATAATATGAATTTGAAAAGAAGAAAAAGTTTTTTATCCTCTAACATAACAGATTAAAATTGTAAATGAAGATAAAACACAAAAAAAACTACAAACCGACAATCAAAACAGTGGCCTCGACACAAACCTTTAACGTCAATTCCGTATTTGTCCTGTCCCTCTGATTGCGGGTCTTCAGAACTTTGTTCAGTTGTCATCCCTTCAACATTAGTTCCTACCAATGACTGTGAGTGTTGATGACGCAACTGTACACTTTTACTGACCGTTTTAATTTTGTTGCCAAGGCTTCTATACTTGTTTAACGTACGTAACATTCTAAGGTCTACGTTTTACAAGCCAAAAAATAATAATAATAATAATAACGAATAAGAGAGCCCAGCAGCACTCATGAAACTGTTTATAGATGAACTAAGAAGCAAGTCAAAAAAAAAAAAGAACGACAAAGATAGATGAAGAGCAAAAGAAGCTGAAGAAAAAAAAAGGCGAGCAGGAAACACGTGGTCAATAATTATAAGTATTAAGGCGAACCACTGAAAGCGCATAGTTCGGCCGCAGCACTGGAGAGCGGCACTGCCAACTGGGAGCCTCCGTGAACTTGTGTGCAATTTCTTCTGCTTGTCGCTTATCGATGATCTGTTAGTGCAGAAACACTGTCATCATTCTGAAGGTACAGTTTCTAGTGGCAAAGCTAGTTTTGTATTTGTAGTTTACAGTGTTGAACGAAGAAGAAATAAACAATTTTTTTTTTTTTTTTTTGACAATGGAAATCCTTTTAAATACAAAAATCTTTATTGAAACAATACGTTGAAAAGACTCAAAAATGCTTTGAAAAAGAAAAAAGCGGATTCTGTCTTAGTAACAAAGCATATTTTTAATAGTAACCTACATTTCAAGAATCTTTTAAAATCTTTGATATTTTTATACAACCATCAAAAATCAGTTATATTATTTTAACATTTCAATTTGAAAATTCTGACTCTTAAACTTAGAATCATTTTCCTTTGTTTCTTCACATATGCAGCATTTAAACTTTAGAAATGTTCAAGTTATATTTACTGTTCAGTATGCAATTGTCATCAATGGCTTAGATCTTCAGAATATTAGCTGTAGCTAACAACAAGGTATCAAGTGTTGAAATAAACTGTGATGTAAATTGATTCTGAGTTTTTTTTTTTTCAAGTAATTGCCATTAACTTTTAATAAATCACAGATTAAACTGGTTACAATATATTCTGTAAAAGAAAAAACGATAAAATACAGTGAACAAATGCCGATGATTTAAATCAAACTATCGACTATAACCTATCAATTCAACA